ACTTTTGCAGGAATCTTGTAAATAGTAGTAATGAGATTGATGGGCCTAAAATCCTTCACCTTAGTTGCCCTGCCTTTTTTAGGGATAAGCAAATAAAAGGTTTCTTTCCAGGTACTAACCACTATCTCCCTCTAACAAGGTCATCCTTGATAATATCCTGGTTATCTTGGAAGAAGGCTATGGAAAAATCGTCAGGACCAGGAGACTTATTCCTATCACACAAAGACCAAACTTCTAATTTCATTCAAAGAAAATAGGGCCACCAACTCCACATTCTCAAAATTAGAAACAGAAATAGGGCACGAATCAAAAACCTTTCAATAAAGTTCTTGGGAGAAACAATCGGGTCATAGAGTTTCGTGAAAAGGAAAGAATCTCCTCATCCAACTCTCCTTCCCCTTTAACCTCCTTTACTCTTTCATTCTGAAAGAACCCAATAAAATTCTTGCATTTTCTTCTATTAACCATCCTGTGAAGTAAGGGACATGTTACAATCCCCTCTTTAGCCCATCTCACTTTCGCCTTTTACCTCCAGCTGCAACTTTCCTTTCTAACCAAATCTTCAAATGCACCTTTAAGGGAGTGTATGCCCAAGTGCATTCTTTCATTTTGCTCAAAGAAAACACGAGTATATAAAACTGTAAGGTCAACAAGCCCAACCTCTTTTTCTGAGTAAAAGTTTTCTAATTTGCTATTGTATTTGATATCAAGACAATCACTTGGACTCCAACATGTTGCTCAGAAGCATAATGCAGATGGTGCATCCTAGCTTGCTTTAATTAAGCTGTTTGTCGAGGGAAATGTATTCAAATAAACAACTGTAGACAATAACTCTAGTTGTTCACATTTTAAGGAAACCGGAAAAGGTACCTGAATATTTGTAATCGTGGAAGATACAAGTTTTCTTGGTTCTGCTGCTGAAACAACAAGCTTGTACCTGCAAATATTTATGAATACCGAGAAGATTAGCAACTATATACTTAAGCTCAAGCTCTCAAATCTTCTTTATGATGAACAAGATTGTAGATAGTATGAATTTAAAAAAATAAAAAAATAAAAAAAAAAAAAAACAGTTGCAAATGGCACAAGAACAGTTTATACTGCAAGTACTTCTTTTAATGCAAAACTGAATGATTGATATCAAATCAATATTAAAGGCTGATAGATTTTCTTTTTAACATGGTGCAAATTTCAATCAAACATCAGAAGTGTCAAGACATATTAAGAATTTCACAAAAAAAATGATCACAATTTTTATAAGTTTTTTTATTAAATAAAAAAAAATTAAAATAACCAGGCTTTCATTGAGAGAGATGAAAAGATATACATGAGCATAGAAAGAAAAAACAAGCCCAAGAACAAAAAATAACCCCAAACCAAATACAAAATGGGGCTCCAATCCAAAAGAATTTCATAAGTTATTTAAGAAGTGCAGAAACTCTATTGATTTCTATAATTTTTCCAAAATATTAATTCACATCGATACCTAGATCAAAATTTCTAAAAAAATTGAGATCACAATCATTGGTAGTTAATTCCTTCAGTATGAACTAATAAAGGAAAATAACAGGAAAGGGGAGGATAGGAGAGTGTGGCGAAAATAAAACATAAGAAGGAGAAACATAATATAATTTAACATCCAATACTTATGTTGTTGTCTGTTGCAATAGAAGGCTTATGCAGCAGCAAAAAGAACCCTTAATAATCATATCAAATCAGAATTAAAATATAAATTATAGTAGAAAACTACTATAAATTATAAAAATATATTGAGATCCCAAAAATAGCCACCATTCTTTCCTACCTCTGTTGTGATTTCCGTTATCCACGCAAAATCTACTAAAGCGCCCAAAATTTCATAATAAATTCAACTAACCCGCCAGTAGTTGCAGTTGCAAGCTGACCAGTGGCATCATTGCTCTTAACATCAGCCAAAACAGCATTAATATCTTCACCTTCTGAAGCAAAATATACAGGGTACTGGAACGACACAGATACTTTCAGAAACACAAACACGTTATAGAAATTGAAAATATAAATTGCAGTAAGGGAATACAAGACGGTGGTCATAATTCACAAACTGATAGAACATAACGTGCATTTATCTAACGTAGAAAGAAAAAACTTTCATTGATATAAAAAGAAGTTAAATGCTTAAATGTTTCAACCAGAAGTTATTTCATTTCACTTACAGGTAGAGTAGCATGTATGAGCAACCGTTCAAGTTCAACCAGTAAATCCTTAATCATCCCATCTCCATTTTGTGGACATTTAAAGTCATCATTTTTCGGGCCATCCGAGCCAAGAATCTTGGGAAGCAAGATCAGGAGACCTCCCAGACGCTTTCTTTGAGATATACATTCTGCACAAGACCAAAAAGATATCCCGGTTACCAACAGGAGAAAGAAGAGCGGTAATGGTAAACCCGCAATTCTTATAACATTTATATGTGAGAGAAACAGGCAGGATTTCTAATATGTGAGAAGTTAACAGTAAGAACAGTCATATTCTTCATCCTTCAGATAGAGGAGAAATTAGATTAACGAAGTTCTGCAACTCTGCAAGAACGCTATTGTTCGATAATAGAAAGAAGATCAAACCTCCCACATTTCGCATATTCCAATGCATCAAATACTCAAAGGGTGAACAACTTCACGGACTTGTTCAGTCATTGAAGCCGGGGGGTCGTGAACGAAATTTCCCCACAACAAACGAAGTTAATCTAAAACAGTATCTACGAAACTAATTCAAGCCGCCAACAGTTAAAACACAGTTCCTAAAATCTCCACACGCAACTAAGAAAGTGTAGTGGTTTAAGATAACGACAAAGTGCATAAAGGGAGTGGAGAAGTAGCAAAAAGAAAAGCACGGTGTACCTTTGACGAAGGTGAAGTTGAGCTCACAAAGAGGAATGATGAAAACAGTGCGAGAGAGATCAGCAGCAGCAGCAGCAGGGGGAAAATGAAGAGAAGCAGCATGGTGATTGAGTGAAGCGGCGCGGGATCCAAAGGGAACGGCAGAGATATCGTAGTGAATGAGGCGATAGACATCGACGACAGTGGCGGCGTCACAGAGCTCGGTGTAGGCAACTAGAAGGAAGACAAGAGCAAGGAGAGGGTAGAAGGATTCGAGGACTTGAGGCTCGCGGGGTTTACGAGAAGCCATGGATGGATGCAAGATCTGGAGGAGCTCAGTTGGGGGAGGGCGTTGGAGGGATAGGGAATTTGATCACAATAATATGGGTGTGGATGCGCACATAGAAATGGCATCAGCTCGTGGCTCTTGCTGGTTCATCTCGCCGTTCAGTAGAGATGCCCACCGGCTGCATAAATGACACACCTGCCCTTCCACCCTAGCGCCGGCTAAATTAATCAGAACATATTTCTCAAAAAAAAATATATATATATATATAATTTTAATAATATCCTTAAAATTTGTGTAAAAAAACATACTAAGATGTCAAAAATAAATTTATGAAAATTTGATAATACTAATATTTCAAAAATACTCTTAAATTTAAAATTTTCATTAATTACTCTTCAAATTTTTAAAAAAAATTAAAAATACTTTTAATACTTTTATCGTTAGTATTAGGTTTAGAAAATATTCATGAAATTAACGTTATTTGCTTTTATAAAAAAATTCTTATTCAAATAGATGGATGAAAATTGTCTATCGACATTCTATAGATAATCTTCGAACTTTTTAACGTTACTTTTGAAAATTTATGAATATTTTTTTAACGTTATAGTAAAGAAAATTGTATTTTATTTATTTTTTATTTTTTATTTTTTAAGTGAAGAAGGTTGTGAAGTTTTAAAAAAAGTAACTACTATTTCAAATATTGATGATTTGATCTCTCAACGTTCAACTATCTGCAATATTGAGCATGAGTGAAATTTTCAATTGTATAAATCTCCCTAGGGTGTCCTGTAGGACTATTGAAGAATCGAAGTGTTGTGTTTCTTGGGTCGTTCGGGTGGTGTGGTGGCATTCCCGGTCCTTTGCCACATGGTTCTTATGATGGAACTTATGTTGTTATATTCATGTGGTTAGGTTTGGTTCTCAATTCACTGGTTTTTTCCTTTTCAACTTATAGCATCTTCCCTTTAATAAAGAGAACTAAGAGGGGCCTCCACATTAATGGGAATGAGAAGCCTTTCTCTAATGGTTTAGAAAACTAACCAAAAAAAAAAAATGAATGAAATAAGTTGATAAACCCAATAGAATCAAACCAATAATTGTACTGAAGTAATTTGTACGTCTTGTAATCTCTTCTCGATTGGTGTTAATAAAAAGGGCAGATAATGCATTAGAAATAAAAAAGAAACTTTTATACGAAAAATATGAAAACATCCGATCTATATACTTAGTATTAACGAAATTGTGTCCTATAAACAAATTTAACGAGTAATACATCCAGAAAGAGCTACCAAGCAACCCCCTCCCTACTCATCCAGGGCCAATTAAAAAAAAAAAAAAAAAAAAAAAAAAAAAAAAAAAAAAAAAAAAAAAAAA